TACAATCATGCCTCATTAAGAACGGTTCGGGTTATTTTTTGGGGTTTCTGAAAAACTCGTTTTCTAGAAAACCAGGTCTTCGAAGGGCTATGCGGAAGCCGCATGGTCTTATTCGTAATCAGCATAGTCGATAACCTATAACCCACTAGATTCCGAGCAAAAAGCGTTTAATCACTTCGTGGGGTTCCCTCGTGAGTATGGAAAACTGGTTTTTAAGGCTTCAAAACTTCATTAGGCAAAGAAAATTTTAAAACGCTGGAGTGGACAAGTTTTTTCGAAAACCCGCTAGATTTTAACAAAAAGATTCATAACTTTGTTTCTCGTTCGTTTAAATGTTCGAAACCAGTATTTTTAGATTCAACACGTGAAAATGAGTCTAGAAACTTATTTTTGATGTTGTTCAAATGCAACATGATTATTATTTTTGGACCTTAATCGGAACCTTTCAACTGCTCTCCGATCATTTCATAAACCTATCTAGTTTTATCTCGTAAGATATGAAGCCAACATTTCTATGCCATTCGAACCGGCAAACGTTGAGAAACAAACTCACATATCGATTTCTTTCATTTTACTTTGTCGCTCAGAAAATTCATTTTTGCTAGATCAAGAGCGAAAATTTGCTTCATCAGAGAGCATCATCTAGCAGTAAAAATATCATATTCGGAATCAGTGCCAAACACTGAGTAGAATAATATACTTTTTTATTACATTCGATCGATTTTGCTTTTTCCGAGTTTTCGTGTCGAAAAAGTTCTGAAATTTCCACCAAAAAATGAAAACCAACGAAAAATGTCGAAAGATATATTAGTCTACTCAGTGTTTGACACTGATTCCGAATATGATATTTTTACCGCAGATTTGCAGACATATCACTTGATTGAAGTGTAAAATGACTGGTTCAGATAATTATGATTAGAGACTTTTCAGGAGAGTCAAAACAGGTTGGAAAGTCCGATAGGTAATATACAATCATTATTTTTCGTCGATTGCTCTTCATAAAAGTGGACTTTCTATATAAATGACTAACGAGGGAACCTTTCCAGGTGGTCAACTGCTGTTCTAACAAAATGCGGTAGTTAATAGGTAATCGACCATGCTGATTCCAAATATGATAGCCGCTTTTGCCCATAGGCCTTTCCAAAGCGGTTTCTTGAAAACTGGTTTTCCAAAAACCGCGAAAAATCTTCAAGAGTTTTTCTAAATAAGTCACAACTGTAGCCCGCGAAATTCTGATTAAAATGAGACATACTCCATCTCTACACGACCTTTCTTTGCAAAGTTATAGAATTAGTTTTGTTAGACCATCAAAGTTTTCTAGAAAACCTTATGATGTTAAAGTTTCTTTCAGAAGTTTTTCAACCATATCATTGGATAGCCCCTTCAATTCTCCATAAAATGAGATGCTGATCAAGTCTCTACGCTTTTGGGACGACCGAGTTATCGGCTTTTTAGCATTACGAATATAAATTCAGTCGCTTTAATGCCATTTTCGACCTTCATCGTATTTTGTATGGCACTTTTCGACGAAACATCGTAGAAACTTGAGTTGAAGGGGCTATCCAATGAAAAGTTCTAAATATTTATTGTCAGCGCAGAGCCACAGAAAGAAGAAGGAAAGATGAATTTAGGGTTTTTCTTGTGAAGTTGTGTTCTCGTCACAATATGAAACAGCTGAGATAGCAAGTGACTATAATGAAGAGAAAGTGGAAGTCGAAGGATGACGCTGTAAGTGAAGAAGTCCGAAAAACTGAAAGTTGTGTTCCATAACTTTGCAAAGAAAGGTCGTGTAGAGCTGGAGTATGTCTCATTTTAATCAGAATTACGCGGGCTGCAGTTGTGACTTATTTAGAAAAACTCTTGAAGATTTTTCGCGGTTTTTGGAAAACCAGTTTTCAAGAAACCGCTTTGGAAAGGCCTATGGGCAAAAACGGCTATCATATTCGGAATCAGCATGGTCGATTACCTATTAACTACTGCATTTTGTTAGAACACTATATAACGACACAATGTTGTTTTGCCAATTCTAGCCCGTCCAAAGATAAGCATCTGTTGTGTTTCGTTTTTGCATGCTTTGAAAATCTCTGTGATAGCAATCGACTTCTTGGTGTCAGGCATCTCTTCTAATGTACCGATGATTGCATCTCTACGGTGAGCCGGAGCATCAGAGGGGTACGCCGGGGGGGGGGGGGGGGGGGGGGGGGGCGGGGGGGGGGGGGNCCCCCGTTTCCCCGCCCCCGCGGGCCCGGGCCCCCCCCCGGGGCCCCCCCCCCCCCCCCCCCCCCCCCGTCCGAATCCGTCTATCCGACGTTTGTTCTGACATATTTCTCGTCGAATTTTTGATACGCTATAGAGCTTATCCAATTCCATATAATGCATATAATCTCAAAGTTCTTTGACTGAGTGATTATTCGTTCTCGAATCATAAGCTGAAGGATGCCTTTAGTTTCCACGTACCCTGTTGGAGGAAGGAAAACCTCGTATTCCCTATTACTTCTCAAATCATACTTTACTTGTTTTACTTCCCTCACCCTCCACCTCTACAGACGTTATGTCATGTTGAAATAAAAAAATAATGATTATTATTTCACTCATTCCGTTAACATTAATTCAAATTTATTTAATTTACTCAAAATAAAATTCAAGTTATCAATATTCACCTTAAATAACTGTTGTTATTGTATGACATTGACTATTCCATCTAATGTATAATGATGACGAAATCGTGACTTTTAATATTTTCAGACTTTTTAACATTGTCGTCAATAGCAAGTTGTACACTGTGATCGAAAGACAATATCTGCTTAAAAATCAATTATCATGAATGCTTCACCATCACTTTATTTATTAAGAATAAGTTCTATTCGAATTACCGCCAGAATCATCACAAAAATTACGCAATTTAGTAATCAGCTGTATTATAATTAAAATCCAATAATAATTCTCGTACAAATCCTTTTTAATTGTGCTGCTCATTGTGTAATTAGTGTAAAAGCGGTTGTATCTCCAACAACGTAAACGAACAGTTGTTATCGAGAAACGAGGCATGCATTTTGAGTCATTTCTGATTCCTATAGAAATGAGGAGGAAGGTCGACAGAAGAAAACAAAATATTTCGAGAAAGAAAAGAAAGAAGTTTAATGTTAGTTATCAGAGAAGAAAAAGCACAAAATTGTGCACAGAAAAGAAAAGTTTTACTACAAGTAAAGCGTAAACTGAAAACAACAATTTAACACGAGAAAAAGGTGAAACAGGTTCGACAAATTTTGATCGTATCTAGCGCAGACAATAGGTTGTTAAATCGTTTGGAATAGATGGCTACCTCAGTAAATCAGACTAATTCAAAGGAATGTGCAAAATGCATAGAGCTGAAAGAAAAAGGACGTGGCGTGACAATATGTGCCGGATGTTCACAAATGTTTTGCAACAAACACTATTTACAACATCGACAAATGATAGATACACAATTCGATCGACTCATAGAACAACATGCGCTTTTTCAACAAGATTTAAATTCGACACAATACAAAACTCACTCTCACTTAGTACAAGAAATCGATGAATGGCAACAAAAGATGTTCGACGAGATAGAGAAAACAGTTAAGGCAGCGAAACAAAATTTGACACAAACGTTAAGCAAAGAAGAGGAAGTAAAACGCAACTTTACGCTGATAACAAATGATTTACGTGTGAAACAATCAACACGTGACTATGATGAAAGCGATGTCGACGAATGGAAACGACATTTAGCGCAATTAGAAGTACAACTGAAGCAACTGCAAACATCTAACATCAGCAAAATTCAGTTGAATTTAAACACATCTAACGATTTCACAAAAATCATCGATCTAGTCATCAAGAATACTGAATATGTCTCTGTATCTCCTCATAGTTCACATGAACCGCTATTCTTAGGTGGAATACTACTGAATGACAAACAACATCAGCTAAAACTCAATGAATTTTCTAGTCGAGAAAATCAACACTGGACCTTGATTTACCAAGGCACACGAGATGGCTTTGCCGCCCAACATTTCCATCGTCACTGCGATGGAAAAGGCCCAACGGTCACAGTTATTCAATCTAACCCAGGCGGTTATCTGTTTGGGGTGGTAATACAAATATTACCTACTTCGGCCCATCACGCCACCAGGAAGACTATAAACGCGCCCTTCCATAATATGCGAACACAGCAACGCACATACTTCCGTACCTTGGAGTTCACAAGGTGGCTACAAAGAAGACTCACAAGCATTTCTCTTTACACTCGCCAACCCCCACCAACTTCCAATCACAAAATTCATTATTGACACCAACCACAAAAATTACGCGGTATATCATCATCCGCAACTTGGGCCGACATTCGGCACCTTCACACAATTACCACTTCATCCTTCGACTTCCACTTTCTCTTCATTACAATCACTTGCTATCTCAGCTGTTTCATATTGTGACGCGAACGTGGCGTCATCCTTCATTGCCTGCTATAATCGAATTTCCGGTTCTTGCTTTTGCTTTTTTTTTTCGGACTTCTTCACTTACAGCGTCATCCTTCGACTTCCACTTTCTCTTCATTATAGTCACTTGCTATCTCAGCTGTTTCATATTGTGACGAGAACGTGGCGTCATCCTTTCTCGCTCATGGAA